AGCAGCAAAACATGTGTGAGAGGATCGTCAAACCATGGTTCTCTGTTAGAAAGATCCACTAGAAGTATGTTTATAGGAGTGGGCTTTTATAAAGAAAGAATCGTTGTAATTGCTACATGTTTAGATAGATATGCGTTTCCTTTTGGCGTTTAAAGTTACTATTTGGCCTAAAGCAGTTTTAATACCTTCCCGGGAAATATTTTTATGAGTATTAAGTTCAAACCTAAAGTGTTATTGATTTGGAAATTTTACGAATGCGAAGGATTACATTTTCTCGGTCAAGATTTTGCAGCGTTTGTGCAGCTTCTTTTGCACCGTATTTTCCTCTTCTGAATTTCACAAACATTTTGTATATAATTATTCACATTGTTGTATGTTGCGCTTTTTAGCATTATTTCAGAAAATCTAGCAAAGCTCTGCATTTGTGAGTTGTGATTTCAAGCTTCCATATCCATTTTTAAGAAACTATCCGCGTAAAAAAAAAAAAAAAAAAAACTACTAATACTAGGCTACTACTACTAGGCCTAACTCAGAATCCTCCATGCATTTTTACAACGGAAGTTGGTACCTACTGTAGGTGAATCTACAAAATAAGTAGCCAAATGTAATATAACCAAAATCCAACCCAACTACTTGCAAATAAATTGTGGAGCATTGTAACCTAACCTAACCTAACCCAAGAAAAAAATACAAGTTGTAGATTACAAAATATTATTCTTATGTAAAATCAACAGGTAACTGAGCCTATTCCAAAATAACTGCAGGAACTCAAGCTAAAGAAACACTTCTAAATAATCTAACCACACGGTAGAGTAGAGGGTACCTCGATAAGGATACTACTGTACATAAACTTTAAAAATACTGTGGCCTTGTTTGTGAGACTCTTGCCATTGTAGATGTAGATATTGTTTTTAATCCTCTGAACAATTGAGCAGGAAAACACGATGGCATGGTCGGGCAACAAACTGTGGTCTCGAGACGAAGTGGAACATTGGGAAAGCTGGGAAAGCATTGGCGGAGAGAGGAATGCGCGACCTAGCAACTAGCAGACGCGAGGGCATCAACCTTGGCCAAGGTCACGGTACACGGTGTACACAGGTGTACAGGACGGTACTGTACACGAATGCACAAGATGGTGATGTACACAAGAAATCTGTGTACTGTTCGGTACCTTAGTATTGTACACGGTGCTCGCCGTACATGGTGTACACAGGTGTACAGGACGGTACTGTACACGAATGCACAAGATGGTGATGTACACAAGAAATCTGTGTACTGTTCGGTACCTTAGTATTGTACACGGTGCTCGCCGTACATGGTGTACACAGGTGTACAGGACGGTACTGTACACGAATGCACAAGATGGTGATGTACACAAGAAATCTGTGTACTGTTCGGTACCTTAGTATTGTACACGGTGCTCGCTGTACATGGTGTACACAGGTGTACAGGACGGTACTGTACACGAATGCACAAGATGGTGATGTACACAAGAAATCTGCCCACGGTCTTGCACAAGAGTGTTCAAGAATATGTTCCGAAAAAAGAGTTATTTTGCACACATAGGTCCTCCACTTGGTCTAAAGTAATGTGTATTCCCTACTTTTAAGTCGGATTTTGTAGAACCCCACTGTATGTTTAAGGATACATCGATGGTTTTAGGGGTTTTCCAAGTCTTCCGGCCACCTTCTTAAGTGTGTTTTCGGCGTTAAAAGTCCTCCTAGTTTCCTTACATATACTGTTCTCCATTTAGGAGATATTTTGTGAAATCTGTCAGTACGTTTTTCATTTTTTAGGATCTTCTGTGGTTTCCTGATAGTTCGACCACCTACAAATCAATAATTTAATCTTTTTTGTGTAATCCTTGATTATGTCTCCATTTAGTTGATATTTTTCGAAATCCAAAATACGTGTTTCATCTTCCATAGCCTTTTTTCATAGCCCGTTTCATTCCCCGATTTTTCGACAACATACAAATAATTTGTCTCATAGAAATCCTTTTTGTGGAATCCTTAATCTTAATTATACCTCGTAGAGTCTTTATTGGAGTGTCCTGAATTTTACGGACGTACATACTTGGTCCTGCCGTCGCTAGTTTCCATTGGCAAGATCCTCACGGCGTTCTATCTAGTTTACACTTCAAGTGGGCGCTACTGCTACTACTTCAGGCTTCAGAGTTTCCGGCCAGTTACCCTCGCCTTGCTCGATGAGGTCGCGGGTTCGATGTGGAATCCTTAAGTTTTAAATATACCTCGTAGAGTCTTTATTGGAGTGTCCTGAATTTTCCGGACCAACATACTTGGGCCTGCCGTCGCTAGTTTCCATTGGCAAGATCCTCACGGCGTTATATCTAGTTTACACTTCAAGTGGGCGCTACTACTTCAGGCTTCATAGTTTCTGCCAGTTACCCTCGCCTTGCTCGAGGAGGTCGCGGGTTCGAGCCCCACTCGCACCGGAAGTGGGATCATCGCACTGTCTGGGTTTCCGGCTGCCGCCACATCGTCCGCGCTTCCCTCTTAATTGGCTACATGAGCTGATTCACTTCCCCCCCCGCCCCGCGTCTAACCTCTCAATTAGGGCTTTCGATTTCTGACTGCCACCGCCAGCGCTGTCAGCCATATATACCCACTATACCAGTCACCAGTCACCACACATCTAACTGTTGATGATAACTTGTGCTGGATATTTGATATTGTCTTGTACATCCTCTATAGTTTTAATTTGTTTTCAAGGGAACGGTCCAAAGCCTAATTTTGTTGCCATCCACCGTTGACTTAGGAAGCACCATTGATTGGTCTAAACATAACCAGATTCTATCTCATGTTGCAATGGGCCATATAGTACAATACTGTAATGCAAGACTTAGAAAGAAAGGCCTACATAAAGATATAAAAATACATCCAGCCATTTGACGATCCGTAGTAAGTTTGACACGTTTATAAATATTACATTCATATAAAACATTACACGATGCAACGTTCTTGCGAAAAAGGATACTCGTCGTGCGACCTTTATAGTCTGTGTGGGAACCCCTGTCTTCTGTGACTTGCCCGGGTATTTAACCATTCCCAGGTAAACTGTGGTCAGGAGACAGGTTGCATCATACAGACTATAGTGGAGGACGATCGTTTTCATCGGCGGAAAGGATCTAACCTTATTAATTTTTAGATCGATGGAGCTACAAGCATACACGTACTATAGACCACCTGCGTCACGACATCACATAGTAATTTATTGGTGATTGGCTGGATTTGAACCCATCTCCTAGAGCTCTCTGCGCTTTAACTACTCTCTCTTATATTTCTATGGGAAAAGCCACCTCTCCATACATAACAACACCATGTGTCTTGTTCGTATGTTGAGTGTTGACGAACTAAGTAACGTCTGACACTAGTAAGCGGTTGACGCAATAGATTAAATCTATGTAAATCGTATGTCAGTAATGAAGACTGTAATTGCTCGGGCGACAGTGAACCCCGTGACCTTTGTACTGTGACGACAACTAGATGTAGACTCTCATACTCCAGGAGCCGTCGAGACCGAGTTTGGATAAATATCATAGAATCGAATCGAGTTAATTTATTCCCTCAAGGATCATGCAGCGTCACAATTGTATAAAGATTATCCTTATGATCCCGTTCCATCTTAAGTAGACATATATATTCACAAAAAGACCAATGTCAAATCTAAAACCCCCAAAAGAAGAAAAAACCCGATTTTGACCTGAGTAATGTAGCTTAAGAGTTCATCAGACAAGCGCTATAAAAGTATTTTCCAATATTGCTGCATCTTATTTTGAAGCTATAATGTACGCATTCAGAAATTGAACAAATCCTTTTTATGAATAGTTCCTGTTCATCAAAACCAGGATCCAACCAAACGAACAAAAGCTTAAATATAAACCATCTACAAGTTCATTTTGAAACACCTTGTATACTTGGTTAATAACGAAATTTGAATCTTGAATTACAAGTAACAAGTGGCCATCACAAACCCATCAAGACACGAACGTCACAAGTATTGAATATGCATCGTGTGGCCTTCCTGTTGTCGACCTTCTGTACATGGCTTCATCGTCGCTCCATCGCTGTCGTCACCGCATCTGTCACTCGTGCCATACTGCAGACTGCAGAGTGCCACCTGGTGTCGTGGCCCGTGCTATACTGCAACTACTGCAATAAGCCTGGTGCCACACGCGTACACTCATGTGAACAAATCGCCAATTGGTACTCGTACGCATATATGAGATATATAAATCTGGAGGAACTTATAAATGAAAGATATTGTATTATGGGTAAAATCGTGTTGTCAAGCTGTTTCAATACTGACGTTTCGGGGACGTTGCAGTTTTCCTTCTGAGCGCAGACACAGTAGTGAAGGAAGGCGCACCTCAAATTATTTCTTCAATATAAGTTAAATAGGGGGGGGGGGGGTGTAGTGAGATGCCTTCTGTACTTGTGTGACTTAGGCTAGTTGTTTAGTCAGGACCAAGATCTCGTCGTCAGCACCTGGGTCTCGTTTTGATTCCATCGAGTCTCTGCCGTCTCTGGCTATTTTCGGAATCAATCCAGTGACTTCGTGATTGTTGGAAGAGCACTGTATCCACTCACCTACCCGGATTAAGCACTTCATAACTGTTTCGAGCTGTACAGTTCCAATAAAAATGCAAACTTAATTTATCGAAGGTTTGAAGGTTATGGTTCACGACCATCAAAGTATATTAATTGTTTGGGTAGCCGAGTGGTTATAGCGCTCACCTCTAGGTTAGACATTTTGTTGACATAAAATTGCAATATCCAATGTAATAATGCTGTGACCAGGTATTTCGGAGACCATTTTCAGCTTTTAGCTTACATTTTAAGAGTTGTCACAAAAAGGTTATCTCCTAGTTCCAAATTGAAGACCTCCTATGAGGAACTTTCCATAAAACAAAGGGTCTCACCAGGATTAAATTTACTGTTTTTTAGCCAACTATTGTGACGTATGTTTATGTGTTGCAGGGGCCAAATATGAATGTGCAGTACGCCGGCGCCGGCATGAAGGGTCCGAGAGCCACGCCGTACCGCGCAACCGCAGTGACATGGACTGGCCCCACCACCGCGCCACAACCCGCCCAACTACGCTACACGCAGCCGCAACATCCCGCCAACGCCTACCCGACCTCAGTGAGTACCTACTCTACTACTGTATCAGGGTCTTTGCAAGAAGAGTGTTACCAATTATGTGCCCTTTGAAACCCAAAGCAAAGCTATGTTAGGTTAGATAACTTCTTCTTGGCACTGGGTACATTTTTAGTGGTCCTCTTCAACATCTTTGCTTTAGAGTGTCTGGGGCAAAGATTATCAAGGTCTTAGCGAGAAGAGAGCCACCGCTTTTAAAATATGCCCTTTGAAACCCAAGAGGCTAGTTTATCTGAATGCACTTGTAGCTAGGGCATGCAACACACATTGACACGTCCTTTAGGCGTTCCAGTAGGATGAGAAGTTTACTTGCACTATTCTTGCAGTCACTGGTACAACTAGGACTAAAAATAATATTTGGACCATCCTACAAGTTTTCCTTCATGAGATGGTTTTCAGATTGATTGCTATGCGTTTGATGTTGATAAGGGAGGCCCGCGATAAGGCCAAAAGTGGCAATACGATTGGTGGGACAATATTTCTTACCGTTCTTGTGCCTAACTTCTCTTAGTAGATAAAAAATAAATATAAATTCCATATCCACAAAGGATACAATGAAAATGTACGTTCTCTCAAGGAGCTCTATAAGTATTTAGGATAACGAAATGTTTGACTTTAGCGTTACCGGAGGATGAGAATTGTTTGTTCCAGAACACTCATTTTGCCACTACTACTGTGTCACCGTATTTTGACTAAAGACGTAGGATGTGTAGTTGTTTTTCGCGTGTGTTTGTGACGAGTGGTGAACTGTTTGCATTGTGACATGCTATGATTCAAATCTCCATTGTCGGGATACTCGTTACTACTTTTGTTTTGTGACGCTCCTCCTTGTTTGCATATTCACTAGGAAATTACGGTCTTCGCCTATTTACATACTACAGTATACAAGGGACACAATAGTTTGTAAACCTCCTGACAGTTTTCGTGAAGGTAACCGAGTTTTTGGAATTATTTGCTTGTGGAGAAATGTATTGTGTTTTATGCAGTAGACTAATGCGCTTCCGCGTGCGGCGTTTTTGTTTTCTTAACGAAAATTCTTAAAATTCTTGAAGAAAATTTTCAGCTTATTAAACAATCAATTAACTATATACTGACTTTCTCCAATGTATTATTCGATCAGACTTTTTACCGTGGAGCGTTTGTAAGATGCAACAAATGTATCGCCGTTGAGTGAGGATAGTCACGCATCCCCTCTGTTGCTTATCAAGTAGGCACTTCCGGTGGGACTTATCACTTCCGTCCCTGTGACTCAACTGTCCACAGATCACGTGACGACTGACCACCGCCACTGCCGAGGTGATTTCGTCGACGTTCTCCTATCAGAGTGATGCACCTTTACCCGTGAAATAGACGTTCGAACGTCGAATTTGAGGGGGTGGTCCTGTTGCACCGAATTTTTATAGGATCGAAATCAAAATAAATCTTATATCACAGAACATAAACAGATGGTAACAATTTAAATAGTTAATTAGTTAATTAATGATTTGATTTCCTGTTATTTATTTACTTTTAAAATATTTAAGCTCAATAACAGTCTATTTGAGAGAAAACTCTTGTCCAATGGTGAAACCAAGGAATTGATTGCGCTTTGTAAATTATTGACAGTCTGAGAGGATAGTATAGTCGATGGCTGTTATAGATAGAACATGAAACACGCTTGAAATAAGCTTAAGATCTTACGGGACGAGAATTTAAACTATATTCATGTAGTTCATGTATTCATGTAGTGTTACCCTATCGCATTACTGTAACAAAATTAAGAATTGTGCATTCAAATACTGTATTTTTTTTTAACGTTACACTACAACTAAACTATGTAGGCCTGAAAGGGAATTTTATCATAAACTATAGGAAATTTTTCTTTTCCGTAGTGTGACTACTGATGCGTAGGCTGAAACGTTTTCAATCCTCGAATTTATATTGTAAAGGTCCTTGTTATTTCCATCGATGTTCCCATCAACAGTATGGCAAACGCATACAAATTGACTGCAATAGCACACTATGATTCTGCTATGTCTTTGAGTTGTAACTGGCTTCTGCTGATTCAAAAGTTACTTCGGTATCATAATTCAACGGTTGTACATTAAGCATGGGTGTGTTGTTGCTTTAGCTTGAGCTTGATGGTTTCTCTGCCTGAGGAATTATCGCGTAGCTTTAGCATGACTCATAATGAGTCATCGATGACGTCTATAGCTTGTCTACTTGAAATTGACTCGTTCAGTAAAGTTCAACTAAACTATGTTCTTTATATTCTTGGTTCTAAGTTTTTGTGTAGTAATTGTGGTGTATGCTTTTTGTGCTCGGATGCTTTTATTGGGTCATAACTCTCATGACTTGAGAATTGTTAGATGTAGGCCTACATATATTCTTAGTGGTTATAAAACATAAAATTGGAGGTTTTAGGAGTATATTTGTTACTCAGTATCAACAAATATTATGCCTAAGCTTAAATTTTTGACCCAATACAAATACATATCAGGTTGGCCGAGTTTACATACTGTATTCAGAAAATTCATGGCCTCATAAAATCGATTTTTCTTACCTCCGGTAAAAAAAACTGTAGTCGGGTTTTTCGTCATTAACTATGGTTCAGTTTCTTCCTTACTGCCTTTCTTGAAAAATGTGCATGACATTTTTGTTTTTCCTACAAAATGTGCTTCATTATTCAACAACAAAAAGAATCGTGAATTTCTGATGTATTCCGGAGGGTTTCGGAAGAATACTAAACATATTAGAAAAAACTTATCAAAATGATATCAACTTAGGTCCTACTGTTTCCATAAATAGATTTATGCCATTGAAACTTTCCAAAACTATTTTAACTAGATCTTTTACTTCCATGACCTTCTGTGCCATGATTTCCCATGCCAACATATACATCGGATTCCGCACGAATGAGAGTCGTAGAAGAACACTGCGTCGTACAGTCTTGTCTGGCGATATACTTCAACAACAGAATAATCCAAGCTTCCAAGGAACAGAAGCCTTTCAAGTTGACCACGTGAATGAAGGCCGAGCTCGCCAACGCTTTTATTGCAGCGGGGTTTTATGTGAAAAGCGCATTCATAAGTCAGTTTAAGGTGTATTGACATAATGAAGCGCTCAGCAGAGTTATTCCCGGGGTTTTCTGAATTTGGCGGGTATTTTTCTGCGTTGGTATGAATATAATATTAGTAAAGAGTTATCAGCATAGATTAAAGGAGTAGACAATACTCCCTAAATCTACCCTTAAATGTAATTTTATTCCGAAATCGGTCGTAAATTGCGTAATACATGTTTGAGTTGTTTTATGCCTTTCCGAATTTAAATTATTTTTAAACCCTTACCAATGGAAATGTATATACGTTTGGTAACTGCATGTTATGAAGAAATGGTAAACGTAAAATTTATTTATAGTTCAAGCAAATAAGTCCAAATAAGGAAAAATAGAGGAACAAATCTATGTATTCCCAATTTATTCAAAAATGTGTCGGGGAGGGTCCTCTAATGAATATATGATAGGTGAGAATAAAATCACCCTGCCGCTCTCTGGTGGTGGGAGGTGTAAATGCCCCAATTTGCCGTTTTTTCGTTATAACTTGAAAACGGCGTGTCGTAGCTTAAGTTGTTCAATGTAAAAATTAAAGCTTATTAAATTTGCTACAACTTTGATCATATAGATTATTAATGAAAGACGCATAGTTTCTGAGATATCCGCGCTCAAAAAAAAAAAAAAAAGTTCGAAAACAGATTTTCATATCACATTTTTTGTTAAAATCTTATTTGTTTCTCCTTCCTTGTTATTTTTCAGAAATTTTGACGGAAAAAAGGTTGTAGAGAATTAAATTTACTTCAGTAATATATACAAATATGTAAATAGATAATATGTAGGTATAAAGTTACAGCGTTTTTAAGATTAAAAGAGAAAATTATGAATTACACTTCATAAAATGAATTTCATCATAATAGTCGCAAAGTTTTGATTTTTTATCATTGCACGGTTTGTATGGTTTCTGATAATTGTTCAGGCCAAATATAAGTATATTTAAGGGAAAAATGGTAATAGTTGTGTAAATAACAATTTGACAAAATAAAAAGTTTATCTATTTATTTTGATGATCCAAGTTAAAACAATTAAAACATACAAAATAAATTCATATTTAATCATAGAACTAATGTTGACTGAGCCTACTGAATGTGGATCCAGGTGTGGATGCAGAAAAAACGGCATCCACTGTTCCCAGGTATGTACCTGCGAGGGAGCTTGCCTGAACCATGCAACAACAATGTGAAGATGATGAGGAAGAAGACGATGAAAAGAATAAGATCAATCTTTATCATAACATGAATTTGTGATGTATTTCTCAGTGGCAAGAACTAGAATATTTAATTATAGAACTAATGTTACCTAAGCCTTTGTTTTTGCAAGAACAAAGGCTCAGTCAACATTAGTTCTATAATTAAGTATTAATTTATTTTGTATGTTTTAATTGTTTTAACTTGGATCATCGTAATAAATAGATAACCTTTTTATTTTGTCAAATTGTTATTTACATAACTATTACGAATTTTTTACCTTAAATATACTTACATTTGGCCTAAACAATTATCAGAAACCATACAAATCGTGCATTGATAAAAAATCAAAACTTTGCGACTATTTGTGTAATTCATAATTTTCTCTTTTAATCTTAAAAATACTGTAACTTTATACCTACATCTTATCTATTTACATATTTGTATGTACTATTGAAGTAAATTTAATTCTCTACAACCTTCTTTCCGTAAAAATTTCTGAAAAAGAACAGAGAAGGAGAAACAAATAAGATTTTAACAAAAAATGTGAAATGAAAATCTGTTTTCGAAAATTTTTTTTTTTTTTTTTTTTTTTTTTGAGCGCGGATATCTCAGAAACTATGCGTCTTTCACTAATAATGTATACGATCAAAGTTGTAGCAAATTTAATAAGCTTTAACTTTTACATTGAACAATTTAAGCTACGACAC